AGCCCACTGGCAAGCATTATTTGCTAATGTCTCCAGGCCATATCCGGCAAACATCTTGATGGGAACCTTTTTTGTGTGACCTTTAAAAATGGGCAATTGTTCCCCCAGGAGAGAATAAGCACTGGGTCTGGAGGTACTGCAATAACAGGCCAGTACTTGGAGAGGTTGGAGCAAACTCCAACACCCTCCCCTGGTACCAAAAATGCTAATAGGAACTTTTTTTTGTTTTATAAATTTAATTAAAAACTCACATCATCCTGCACTTACAAAACTTCACATACTAAGCATCCTTGTTTTACCAAAATTTCATATAGCAAAAACAACTACATATCTAAAAAATATACCTATGTATATTAAACCCTTAAACAACATGCATCACCTTCCCACAAAAGAGCCCCTTACAGAACTCTTTTTCTTCACACAGAAACCCAGGAAAAAATATTACCTCAGTAACCACCTAAAACTCTTTGTCCCTCCCATCAGTCCTCTTTGCTGGTTTAGTGAAACAAGTGTGTCCAGTCTTTTTTCCTCCACTTCCTCGTTGACTCTTCTTCTCTGCTCTCATCCCTTTCCCAATCAATGTAGTATTTCAGTTCATGCTGCCCCACCTTCAGGCACTCTTTCAGTGAAAGCCAGCACCTTAACAAACTGGAGAGTTCTTACTTTCAACAAAAGTTTTAAAACATGGTAATAAAGCCCTTAATAACGTTTCCTTTGGTCCCTTTAGCATGAGTCCATATAGTATCATCTCTTATGCTTTTTTTCTCATTTATTTTGGTGACACTCAGAAAGCAGTGGACCCTCTCCCACACCCCCTTTGTATATGGACACTCCCAAAACAAATGTCCTGTTGTTTCTTCTCCGTATCTCTCCCTTGGGCACCAGGATGAACTTGCCAAGCTCCATCTGTCTTGCACCTCTTTCACCAGTAAGATATTTCTTACAACAATCCACGCTAGGTCAGCATGTTCCCCTTTGAGTTGTTTACCTGCTACCACTCTCCACACCTTCTTCACTTGTCCTTCTGTGAAGTTTCCCACTGCCACCATCTTGTCTCTCCCCCCTATTACTCTCATCAATTTCTTATGTTCCTTCAGGACCTGCAGCCCTACCTTCCCTATTTTATACCTAGACATGAAATCTTCCATCCTGGTGTAATGAGTCAGTGGTTGCCACCCCCCTAGACTCTTCAAAGAGGTCTGATATACTCCGCATTTCCTCAAAATTGCTGCTGTGTGGAATCGGGTGTTATGCACTGCTTTCTCCTCTCCCTCCATCACCACCTTGCATACTGTGCTTACATACTTCACATACAATCCCAAGTCCGTCAGCCTCCAACCCCCCATCTCCATTGCTTTGTACAGTTAAGATTTAGCCAAGTTTTCTCTTGGCATTCCAGAAGGACACACACATTCCCCTCTGTACTTTTACTATCTGCTGCCTCATTGGGAATGCAATTTTTGTATATAGAATAATGAGCAGTAGCACAGCTTAAACAACTGCCACTTTTCTAGCAAAGGTCAATGTCCTTCTGGCCCATAACCAAAGTATTTGTCATATCCTTGCCATCACCTTTTCCCATGCTGCATTACCTTGCCCCTTGGTGTCCATTGGGATTCCTAGCATTCTAATTTCACTCTCTTATTTGAAAGCCCAACTTCTCCAAGTCCTTCCAGTTTCCTGCTCCCATTGTGGTGCTTTTTCAATCTATTTAGTTTAGTCCTCTTTATTTCTTCATACTCTGATGTATGCTTTAGCACCCTTTCCATCGAAAGCCTATCTT